AGTTTTAGTTAGTTTTCCTTTTTTTGTTTTTATTTTTATTTCCGTTAACGAAAATGTTTTTTCACTTCTAGTTTTTGTTATTTCGTTAGTTTTCGTTAACGATAATAACCTTGGTGACTGAGGAGGAGCTTTTGTACAGAAAATGTGGAGCACCTTTTCCCCTAACCCTGTTTCCCACGGACCCTGGCGACCCGGACCCGTTTCCCCTGCACGTTGTATATAGCCACTTGGTGATTGTGTTCACTGTGAATAAACGCACTGTTCTTCGCTTAAAGGAATACCCTGGCCTGCGCCTGAGTCTCTTTCGGAAACCCAATCAGAATCTTCCTTAATGACCAACCATTTATCCTGAGGGCCACAGCCCTGCCTCTGGTTTCTTCCTCTTAAAAGGGAGTACTGCCTTCTCATGGTCGCCAAATGCTTGTTTATAAGGGGGCCGTCTGATTGTCGGGGTGCTATGTAGACAACATGTATACAACTGAATTGAACTGAGCTGAATGGAATTGAACTGAAAGCTGAAAATGTACTTTTATAAAATCCTAGAGGCTGAAATCAGCAACAGAAACGACTGATAGATAAACTAAGCTTGAATGAATCTCACAAAGCAGCTGGTATGTATTAGTGTGTGTGAACAGAGTCGCATAGAGTGAAAGGGATTAAAAACAACAACAACAAATGAATAAAGGGAATTAAATAGCAGAAAACACCAAATGTGAATTTGTTCAATTCCAGTAAGTGAAAAAAGTGAAGACCAATAACAGAAAGGTCGTGAATTACAATGATTTTATCAGCCAACCAGCCTTTTTTGCACTTTGTGCATTCACTGTAGGTGTATGGCCTTGGCAAGGCATCTCCCATGACGATGGAAGGCTGAATAATACTGGAAGCCAAAGGTGAGACTTTCACAGCTCTCTACAATACATATTCAGTGCATATAGACCCCTGGCAGCACTGGTGCAGAGCTTAATTAAAAAGTAACAGTTCCGGTACATTGGAGTCTGGCTGACCCACATCCCCTGCTGGCTCAATACGCCTGTTAACTCTGTGTATAAGTGTGTGCGTGTGTGTTTGGTGGGATATTGGGGGCACTTGAAAAGGGAAATGAGAAAGGGTGTAAGTCAGTCAGAATGATGATACACACTTGATGCGTTTAAGCAGCTGTAAGCATTTGCATAAAAAAAATGTGTGCATGATGTGTGTTTGTGTGTGTGTGTGTGAGAGAGAGACATGAATTATTCAGAATAACCCTAGGCAGTGCTATATAGCGCACTCCTGCCTTTTGGGCTTACATCATGCATGTGCGTGTGCGTGCGTGCGGTTGTGCATTTGTGTGAGTTTATAGACGGGGAGCGTGTGAGGAAACCTGAGTGCATTTCAGCCATGCGCTGTGGACCTAATCCACTATGACAAACCTCTGACATCACGTGCACGGCAGGCATGCTGAGCAAATCCAGTCATTTATAATGAATGAGACAGAGAGAGAGAAAAAGAAGAGTGAGAGGGTAGAGAGTCTCCAGGGAAAACGATATAAAAATAATAATAATAAAAAAGGAGAGAAACAGACAGAGCATCTCTATCTGTGGCAGCCAAAAACATCATCTTCAAGCCACTTGCTGCATCCATCCATGTGACCTCAAACAGCCAATCATCACAAAAAAACAACACCACACCAACAACAACAAAGAAAGAACGCAAGAATTAGAAACAATGAGCGGTGAGTGGAAATGCAGTTGCTGATTTCTTTTGTCTCTGTCATTCAGACAAGAATTACAAGATGATTGGATGTCTTGGAAATACATTTCCGGTAGCTGAACAATGCAATCAATTCAGGAAATGTCAGGAAATTTTAGAGTAACTATCAGCTATTTTAAAGCAGATATAAGGGTTGAAATGCCTTTCCTTTTTCCACACCCTCACCCCTTTTCTTTCCTTTGTGTCTACTGGTTCCTCTTCTTATCTAGCTAAACTCTTTAAGAGCTTGTTGTTCTGAAAATGTTGAAGAATCCAAGTCTCATTTACATGCCGAAATATGTCAGGGTGGCACCAGTCGGGCTGCAGACTGAGCGGGGTGCCAAAATCCCACAGGTGGTGAGGGTTGGAGTGCTGGAAGAAGAATATGGGTCCCCAAGAGTGTTGCTGTGTGACTACTGCTGCTGATTCCATTACAGTCTCTCTCTCTCTCTCTCTCTCTCTCTCTCTCTCTCACACACACACACACACACACACTGCTACATACCTATACCCAGACTCATATTTTAGGATTCCAAGCAGAGCCCTAAAGCAGAATGTCATTACTGTCCCACAGTGAACTTGGTGTACGATATGAAAACTTTATTTCCTGGTTCGTTACGGCAGTAAGACTGTCCCGTTTACCAATTTCTACTAAGGAAAACCCATTACAATATCTAATAAATGTGGGAAATAGTTTGCAATAGCTGAAAATGCATGCACATTCGGTCAAAAAAAATAAATAAATAATCATAATTAACTGGTATGACATTCTGCAAAATCTTCAATCCAAAAACTGTGATGCTCTTCTTTCCTGGACCAGTTCTGCGTAAACATAATCTCCCACCTCAGCGGTGGAGACTTTGGCTGTGCTAACAAACTAGCCAGCCTACACCTCATATAAACTCTGTCCTACTCTCTCCCACACATGGAGCCGTCTGAAGTCCATCAAGCCATAAATAATTCAGCCGACTCTCCCACAAAGTGAGAACAACCTGCAGCTTACCATTCATTCTGTCCGGGCAGCTCATGAATCCAGGGAACTGGGTTTTCTCCCACAAAACCCATGTCATCATGGGAGCTGGACGACGACTGGTCGGACAGGTGGGAAGGGAGCAGGGGTGGCCTGTCGTCTTCGATCATTACTATGTCGTCCTGTGGCATGTTCACAGTCGGAGAGAGCTGGAAGCGACCTGAGAAAAACCAGGACGAGGAGAGACTGATTAGCAAATGGAGTGTGACCGCGTACATTTGAGCTTCATTTCAATTATAAAATACAAAACTGCGTCAAAACCCATTTATTAAACTTTTTTTTTTAAACGCACACACCCCATGTGCAGACATATTTGTGTAAATATAATTTTATCTTGCGTTCCTAATTAACAGCATGACATTGCAAACAGATCATGCTGAGGACATTATTTTGCAAAACTAGTGGATTTCTGCTCTTATCTGGAGTAGCAGTACTGAATGGAAATAACAAACATCTTCTAAATGATAGCACAGTTCACTCATGGAAAGTCTAAGTGGCCATGAGGACTCATAAGACAAGTGCTCTAATGTCTATCCAGTCTCTTAATGTCACAGGCAAAAGTTCTGGACCCGGGTAGTTTTAGCTATTCTCCTTCACTCTCCTCCAAGGACAAATACGAGCAGAAAAAGGCCTCCCCCTGATCTGTATTCTGTCCCGCCTGACCCTCCCCGCTGAGGACTTCTTTGAATCGCTCTTTTGCTGCTCCTCAGGAGTCAAAGTCAATGGGGAATGTGCTGGCACTCAGCGCCAAGGGCAACAGAAGGGTTGTTCAACAGCATGAGAAGTGGCATTACAATAAAGAGGCGGCAGCTTCATTCTGAAAGCCGATCTGCGCACGACTTCTTCGCGGCCGATCCGAACGCGAGACAAGTGATGAGATGTGAATTCAGCCACACACCTGCTTGCCATTAGACAAAGTCTTACAGAGATTCTGGACTTCCTGTGGTCATTGCTTTTGTTTCCATTATCGCGGAGCTATTTTGCAAATTTAATAGCTTAGGAACAATTGTGTGTAATCACTAGCAGCAGACAACAATATTTACTCTGGCAGGATCCCAACGTGAATCTGAGAGTCATTTAATTTCACTGGGGCCCGACGAATGATGAATGCACGTCGTGGAAGTAAATCTCAGCACCAATCAATGCAGCAGCGAGCGGTATAGTTTAGTTTCGGTACTTGGAGATTAAAAAAAGAAGGGAAGAAAAAAAAAACAAAGAAACAAAACAGAGCTGCGTGGGAGAGGACAGAAATAAAGGCGCGCTTATACAGCACTCGCAGCGCCAATGAAAGTCCAACAAAAATCAATGTGGAAAGGTGCGTTTTTTTAGGTGATTTGCCATGTTGACGTGTGACAGAGGAGATTTGTCCAATCCCAACCAGTGAAGCACAAAACAACACCAAAAAACGTTTCCGTCGTACAGTTCTTATAACTGGGAAATTATCTATGGAAGCCAAAGAGTTTTTGTAATACCACCATATTGCTGTGAAGGCTGACATTTTACTTTGAAAGTCTATGGGGACTGACTTGCTTGTGTAGCAAGGCTCAAGTGGTGATTAAAAGAAACTGTCAGGTTTGGTAACTGCAGCTTTAACAGCTTTAACTTGAAGTAATTGTTTTCTGTACAGCTTTCAGTGTCTTGTGTCGTTGCGGAGGAATCATGGAGTGCTCTTTAAAAAAAGTGTTGTTTCATTTCATGGGGTTTGTGGGAAATCTTAAATGGGCTCTTTTAAGGTCTGGCCACAGCATTTCAGTCAGTTTCAGGTCAGGACTCTGGCTTGTTGCAACTTTGATTCGTCTTTAGCTATTCTGATGTGGATTTGCTGCTGTGTTTGTTCTGTTGCATGAACTATTTTCAGCCAAACTTTAGCCAACAGCTGGCCTAACATTTGTCTCAGAGGACTTCACGGTCAACTTGATGACAGCAAGACGGCCAGGTCCTGTAGCTTCAAGACAATCCCAAATCATGACCATCACTGTCCTTCAGAGGTGGTATGAAGTGTTTGCGCTGTGCTGTGTTGTAACACTAACAAACAACTCCACTATTTGATTCATTCAGATGCAACTGAACAGCCGTGCTGCTGTTCTTAAAAGATAAGGGGGAACACTTCCAAACAAGCCACATTTGTTCAGTCATTTTCTAATCTACCAACTTAAACTTTAATATTTAACATTCTAACTGAGACTGAGTCACAGTCAAACCTTGGGGGGGATTTACATGGATGTACACTCCTGGGAAGATTGTGGCATTGTGCTCCATACCAGCAAACTGAATGCTCCTTACAAAGGCTGCTTTTATAGAGCTACATAGTTTTTTACTAACTACACCCTTGACTGCAAAGTCATGTGAAACCTTCTTTTTCACATGACCATACTTTTGTATCTGTTAGCCGATTCTACTGAGAGCCTAGTCCTTTTGTCTTTAGATTGCTAATCTAAAGCAGTTAAGATGGCTACCAACACTGTACAGGTGAAATGAAGGCCATTTCTCACTCAGACAGCTTGACAGAGAACCACAGGTGATTGAATTCCCCCTGTACTGTAAATCAGGAGTATTGGAGTAATGGCAGTGATAAGTCCAGGAAGTCAATTAGGCTAAGCTAAATGTATCATTCTCACAGTAGACAGACCGAGAAAATGCCAGTTATTTTATAGTTGAATTTTGATTATTAATCAAAGTGGTTGAAGTAATTTCTCAAGTTATTATGATAGTTTCTTTCAGTAATGTCTAGGTTCAAGGGAAAGTAAGGTAAGTAAAATCTGCACAGTCTATTAAAATGTAGCTACTGTAAATCTGTATAAGTAATATACGTGTAGAATTCTAAGGACATATCTGACCTTATTTTCTGAGCCTTTTCTGTCATGACAACACTACTTAGTCATTTTCCCTCCAAAATTTCAAATGTCATGCTTTACAGTCAGTTTAGCAAAAGTGCGACAGTGTCAATAAAAGATGCCCTGCGGTTGTGTTTCCACAGGGGCTTTTCTTATGCCCGCCTTTACATTCCCTTAGTAAGTAGACGGAATTGCTTCTCGGTTGCATCAGCAACCGAGACTTTGACTGCAGCAGCAACCCTGAACAGACACAGAGTATTAACTATGTCTTTCTAAAAAAAAAAAAAAAAAAAAAAACTAAAAAAATCCCACCCAAAATAAAACTTTAAAACTTTTAGTGCATGTTCACTTACACCACACACGGACGGAACATTTGCTCAAACTTACAATATGCTCTCTTTAAGATGACACACCATCTAGAATCACCTTACATACACTTGTGTCACGGTCCACTTTGCCAGAGGACACTGCTTTAATTAGAAAGTCTGCAGGCTTTTCTCCCAGCTTCATGAAATATTTCCAGTCAGGACCCCTTGACACAAGTGACCACCGCTGCAGACGAAAAGTCGTTACAGTCACCCCACTTCCGTGCCTATGTGCACATGCACTACAGCACTGTATGTGCCGATGCTTTCAAAGGTGAAAAAATAATTAGAAACTGCAGCGAATGCTTTTCTGCAGCTGTCAGCATAATCAGCATAGAGGGAAATCACAGCCCGCCTACTCATGATACTTGACTCCGAACATGACTAACCGGGACAATGAAACAGACGAGACTAAGGTTGGCTGGAGAAGACAAAGAGAAAATGGCTCACAGGGAACAATATGTTGATACGAGTTAAATCACACTGTGGTTCATAAAACTTGGCTGTGCAAAGGGCGGAGTGGGAATAGAGGCAGACGCTTTTCAGCAACTTGGAACAGCGAGGCTCAGATGGAGCTGCTCACTCACTGCTTTAACACCATTGTCTTTTATCAGCTCCTCACAGTAGCTGACGAG